TTACTGAAATTAATCTACTTTTTCATGATATTCTAATTTTATGACCAGCACCTGTATGTATGTGAGTTTCTGTGATAGTACATTTCATGACCTTTCTTCTTGCCCCGGAAAGTCGCTGTTTGTTCTAAATACAGTGAAGTTGACCTGTGAAAACACTAATAAATCATTTTCTTTGTACATGATCCTATTAACGAAAAGTAGAAAATATCCTCATTTATCTTAAAGCTATTTTGACTTCAGTGTTCAGATAGAATTAGTTAAATATCGGACAAGAATGGCAACTATCTTAATTTCATTTAATTTTTTCTTTAATGTCATTTGTTATCCATGGGTGGGTATTATGTGTGGCGTTGGTTGAAAACTCATTTAAATACCTGTTGGGTGAAACTATTCAGTGACTTGTGTTTTTGCCTCTGAAACAGATCATTCTCAAGTAGCCATCAGAAGTAGAGGTCGGTGTCTCATCGCTGCAGTTAAAGGTCCCAGACAGCCTGTCTGTAAATATTCTACCAACAACACACACAGCATACAACAAGCTGCATACTGAGAGCACCACTGCTCCAATGAAGGAGGATCAATTACATTCAGCGGCTCGGCCACGAGGGCCGCATGGTAGTTTGCGCCTGTAATAACGTGAATCCTCAATAATATCAGCCTCCTCAGTCAGATGTAATGAAGTCAGGGATGAAGCTGTTATTCTGTTCTTAAAAGGCTGCTTGAAAGTCAAAAGAAGAGGCTTTTACTGGACAACTGATCAAATACAGCGGCGACAACTTCATATGTAAGAAACACAAAATATAAATTGTGCTTTTTTGCCATTTAAAGGGTGTAAATAATTACAGATGAAAAGATGGCTGATTTAATCTGAAGTCATCCCCTCAGCGTGTTGATGGAGAGCAGGTGACGCCAGGTGTAAAAAGTCACATATTTGAGATTGTTATAGTTGGATTATTTTATTGAGCATTCTTGAATGTGTTCTGTTTCGCATTTCCCTATTGCCAGATTTAAATATTATAAACAAACCAGTGAATAGCACTTATTTTACCTTTTTTTTTTTACACTTTGTGTCAAGTAATGTATTTTAAAAGCTGGTTTTAAACATCCCTTTAAAAATGCTCAGAGAGATCCCCAGAGAACTGGACCAGTGCTCCACCTCTTGGTGTGCCTTTGTGTTGCAAATACAGGTCCTGTACCGAAAGAAAATGCTGTTTAATCTGTTCCATGTAGATTATTATTATTATTATAAAATAAGCCTGGTGATTTTTATAGAAAAAAACATTGTGATTTTTGTTTAGGACCCTCCTCCTTAGGCCAACTGTGATGTATGTTGGAGCCTATTAATTATTTAAATGACATTCTTGTTATATGTAGAATTATGTAGATTATTATTATTATTTTAAAATAAGCCT